TTAGCTTGTTCTTATTGTCCTTTAAACTATTGATATTGTGGAACCCTATATTTATAACCCTAAAATTATCATACATGTTTTTTCTTCTTTTATCTGGCTCTATGAGTTTCTTTTCTAGATCATTTTCCTTTAACTCTTTTTCTTTTCCTTTTTGCAACTATGGGATTTGTTTTTATCTACTGAAGTGTCCTCTATTAACTTCCTCACATTTTTTCTAGTCACCTCAGCTTCATATATAGATTCGCCTATGGCAACCTTAGGAGTAATCCACAGAGGTGATCTCTGTAGCACCAATATACAGCCTTGAACTTTGGGTTTTGAGCTTTTCTAGTCTGTTTAGAATTTGTTCTAGTGCTGTGACTATTGGGTCTTCTCTTTCTTTCCCTTTTGTATTTTTACCCAGCTACTTTTTTTTCTCTTGTTGGTCATATGGGTAAGAGTTTTCCTTATTTTGGTTTCTTGTCATTAAAGGTTGTCTAGTTATGTAACACTTTGTCTTTGTCCCACTCTTGTTTTGTAATACTCTACTCTTATTTTGGTCTTTTTCTCTCCTTTCTCTTGCTCTTGGTGTTGTTTCTCTTTTTTCTTTTTCAGATTCTTCAGACTTTGGGCCTACAGCTTTTTCCTTCTGGACCAGTTTGCCCTATCTTCTGTCTTGTAATCATCCTGATCTTTTGTGTTGCTGTTTCTTCAAAATGCTTTCTTATAGTGTGCTTGTAATGGCGTTTGCCATTCCAGCTTTCTATTGTAATAGAATATAGTCGACCTAAGAGCCTCAACCATGTCCTCTTCTTGTTTAAAATAAACAAAGACCCTTCCACTTTGATGATCATTACTGTTATTTATCGTATACACTGCTTGTATCTTGTATCTTCTTAGTTGTCATAGCAGCAGACTATTTAAGGCTGTCCTAGGTATCTTGTTAACAGTGCATCTGAATCTATCTCTTTTGCCAGCATAGCTTTGTCAAACTTTCCTGGGGTTATTCTGTGTATCTTTCTTGCTCTAATTGTACCAACAATTGTCCGTTTAGTGAATGGGTTCCTTTTCTTGTATTGAATGCTATGCTTATGTATGCTGCTTTTTTTCCTCTCTGGCCCTGTCACCATTCTATAATGTTTGTTGTACCATAGTGCTCAAGATATAGCTTAATCTCAGTTCTACTTGTGTGTTTTGGGAGGTCCTATATTGTAAAACAGTAATATCATTTATTCGCATGCTGTTGTGTAGCAAAACCCTCTCTTGGAGCTCATATTAAACTATAAATATCTTCTTGACTTTTTTGTTTTTTGCTATATCTTTTGTTTTGGTGTCTTTCTCTCTCTGATGACCTTTCGATAATCTGCCTCTTTAGGTTATAGTTTGTAGTGCCCACTTCATTTTCTAACAAGACAGTCTTTATTTCTTTGGCATCGTTTTCTATTATAACACTATTGTTATCTTGTTCCTCAAGGATTCTTTTGCACAGGTTTTTTTTGTTTTCTGCTAAGATATTATTGATACCTATATTTGCAACTAGTAAATTGCTTTTTTTATTTGCATTAGTGTAGCAGAAATCCATCTTAATTGGGTCATTTTTGCCTTTACGCATATATTTAGCCGCATTTCAATATCTATGTCATGTCTGAGAAGTTTCTTCTCCTCTTTAGACAGAGGCTGATCTCTAACTTCTTTGCTTCTAGCCTATTTAAAATATTCAATAATGTTGCGTACAACTGCGATTAGATGAATATCATTTGTATCCAGGTATTCTGCTACGTATACATCTTCATGTCGTATTGTTGCACGCTGCTTGTCATATAAGATGCTTCTTTCTCTCTCTGTCTGTTTGAAAAAGCCTCTAAAATTCTCTAGATTTGCCATTTTGTACTGATTCTATGAACTTTTCTATTTTTACATATGATGTTAGACGAAGTGTCAATACATGTGAAAATTGTTGTTTATATAATGCCAGTTGTTGATCGGTTACATTGTTTACTTTTTTGGTAGCTTGATGTATTACGTGTTTGTTTGTTGTTACAGTAATCTACATTATAGAGTCAAGGCCGATTCTCCAAAAATTCTGTTTTTCTAGAATTTTCTTATGAAAGTTGTCTATTTGGTCCCTACTGCTCTTTCCGTAAAGTTGGACCAGATGTGCTTCTAAGTACCTCTAGGTAGATTTTTGTGCTGCTTCTTTTTGCTTAAGCCTTGGAGCCTTGCTAGCTAGTATACTTGTTGTTGTTTTTGTATATTTTCTTTAGCTAAAAAATTGGTACAAGAATCTGCAAGGGAGAGTGTCCTGATTTAATATGATTTTTAAAAAAAACAAATAAATTAAATTAAATTAAATATATATGATTTAAAAAATACCAAATTAAATTAAAAATAAAGAAAGAAATTAAACACAATAAAAATAAATAATAAATTTAATAAATTAAATATGAATTTAAAAAAAAACAAATTATATAAATTAAACTTAATTTTAAAAAAAATAAATAAAAAAAAATTAAGTTAAATATAATTTAAAAAAAAACCAAATCAAATTAAACTAAATTTAAAAATAAAGAAATAAATTAAACACAATAAAAATATTACAAATTAAATATATTAAATACGATTTTTTAAAAAAACAAATTAAATTAAGTTAAATTTAAAAATAAAAGAATATAAATTAAATATGATTAAAAAAAATAATAAATTATACAATTTTTTTAAAAAAAAATAAAAAAACAAATTAAATTAAATTAAAATTTAAAAATAAAGGAATATAAATTTTTTTTTTTTTAGCTCTTTGACAGTTTTGCTAGAACTCAAATTTAATACTTTATTAAACAAACTTGAATAGAATAAATAATGACAGTATGAAAATTGCAAGCCTGACATCACCTGGCTGCATCTATGTGCCCAAGAATGACTTATCGCACCAATCTCTTCATTCTTACTTTCTTCACTAAGAGCAAAAGAAAATAATATTCTGTATTCTCAATACTAGAACGTATATCAAGAAGAAAAGGAGTATATATACAAAAAAGAAATAAACAAGAAAGAAAAAATAATAAGGAATAAAAATGGAGGAAACAGAAAATGTAAAAAAAGTTAAAAACAAAAAGATAAGCCTCGACAAGCTAAACAAGAAAAGGCTATTCTTGTAAGAAATAGCAGCTACCCCTATCAAGAAATAGCACAAAAACAAACACAAAAAAAAGAAAAAAGAGTGTGTACTATTATAACCCATACCAGGCAATTATAAAAATTATATAACAAATACAATATTTGTATATTTCTACTATAAAGCTTTGCCTTAACATTAGTATTCCTTTTCAACTGTATAACCAACTCTGGAATATTTGGCCTGACCTAATCTGTATCTCAAGCCAGATGTTGCCACCATCCGTAGACCCTATCTCAAGCCACCTGCTGCCACCATTAGAATCTGGAAACTGTCTAAATTAGTAGCACCATATCCGTTGAACACGTAGTTGTAATCTACTTGGCTTTCCAAATTTGGGATGTAAACAATATCAATCTTTTGAAGAGAGTAAGCCAAATTTCCACTTTTTATTCAAAAAAAAATTTCAAAAATGGCAAGAGTTGTAGTAGGTAATTTTAAAGATAAAGAGCAACCACTTGCAAAACTTGTAAGGAGTGTGTTGAAAAATAAAAACTTTTGTTGTTCTTCTTGTATTTTTTGTTTGACTCTTAAGAGACTTTATCGATGGAAACCTTTCTTGCCAAGACACCATCTCTACCAAAATTTTTGTACAAGAGCACCTCTTGCCAGTTATTTTGTAACAAAATGCTTTTGGCTTGCATGCTAAATATGTAAAAAAGTTGAGAAGTAGAAAAGCAGTTAACCTCAACAAAAACATCTCATCAGAATACAAAGCAATGTTATCTCCAACAAAATTTTTATTTTTCTTTGGGCGAAAATTTGGAACAAGTGATCATTGGAAAAAGTTCATAAAGGAATATAAATTAAATATGATTAAAATAATAATAAATTATATTTTTTTTAAAAATAGAAATTTAATTAAATTAAATTTAAAAATAAAGTAATATAAATTAAATGCACCACTACATTCTGTGCTAGGTTATGTCGATCACCTCAGTGTGACATTATAATTATGTAATGTAGAATATAATTTCTTGCATAGGTACTATAATTGGTTATATAGGTACTAAGAATAGTTATATTAGCACTTAGTTCCTGATTTAAATCATAATATAATAATTGAGATCATAATAATGACAAACTCTAGTCTAAGCAATTTAAAGTTTAATTAAGTCTAATTAATGTTAATGATGTAATTGTATATACTGTATATATTATTAAAAAAAATTGAATAAATATGAAATTCAATCTTACTAATTAAATTTTTGCTTCGTTACAAGTACTCAGTAATATGTCAACAGGTGTAAGTAGAAAGTTGTAATAAAGGAGAGAAGTTTGATGTTAGAAAGGTGGAGCAAAGTAAAAGAATAAAAAGTAGTACATAAAATAATAAGTACAAACTCTTGAACATTAAGTATATAAAATGTAGTGCTATTGGAACTTGTGTCTTTAAGTAATAATATCAGAAGTACATGAATAGTATGACTAGGTAGAAAATGTTAGCAATCAAAAATAAAAAAAATTAAATAATACAACTATAAAAAAAAAAGAACTAATAAAAAAATAGAGAATTAATTGGGAGATGTAGACAATTAATTCAAAAAAAAAAAAAATCTAATTTTACGTAAGTAATTAGTTAATAAGAAATTTTTGTTAAAAGTCAAGATACTAACATGTACAATTCATATTGATATTAATTTAAAATAACAGGATTAATCGCATTTACGAAAGCATAACTTTTGTATTCACCAATTATATAGATAAGGCTAAGAATATGTTTGTAATAGAGAATATATTTACAGATTATATAGAGAATATTTTTATATATAATATGAAAAATTCTTTTGTGAATTATGTGGATAAGTCTGAGAATGTGTTTATAGCAAGAGATACTTTTACAAATTATATGGAGAATACTTATCCAAATAATATAGAAAATTCTTTTGCAAATTATACAAATAGGGCTGAGAGTGTGCTTGTAATAGGAAATACTTTTACAAATTATGTGGAGAATACTTTTACAAATAATATAGAAAAGTCTTATGCAAATTATACTGAAAATTCATTTACAAGTCATATGTAAAAAAAGATTACCAATATAAGTTACCCAGAATATACATTTCAGAATTATATAGTCAATACATTTACAAATAATATAATGCGAATAAATTCTGAAGTCGATAAATACACAGGAATAGATGAAAGCATGGAAATATACAAAGGCATGGAAATAGATAAAGACACAGGAATGAATAAAGACATGAGAATGGATAAAGACACAATAGATATTGAAATGAGTTAAATACTGTATATGATCGCTTTTATTTTATTACCAAATTTTATTTAACTAGTGTTAATTCTTTTACTTTTTTTACTCTTATAAAGATTAATACATCAAATTGAATGTTGATTCTTCTGAGGTAAATCAAGACACTGCAAATCTTGATAATCATATAGTTGATGAAAATTCTTGTGAAGTAAATTAAATTTTAAAGAAGCAATTTAAATTTTTTTTTAATAATATTATTTTAATAATTAATCATAATAAAATATATGTTTTTAGCTCTTTTCTTGAAATTCTTTACCAAATTTTCTTCAAGAAATTTTACTTTTAGACTGTATCTATAAGGTTCAACATATAACAAAATTACTGCCATATTATACAGAAGAAGGGTTTGAAATTTAGCAATTCTAAGTTGGTATATTTGTTAATGTTTCGACTATAGAAGCTATAAAAATTTGGTTCAATGCATTTGAAAAACAATCAAAAACAATGATGCTACAGACAAAAGAGCATGGAGTCAAAAGTACATGTATAATTTTTTGAGAATCACGATACTGCATTCACAGCCAAATAGTTAGAAAAAAACAGAATAATATTAAAAGAAAGTGTCTAGAGTTATCATGCAATAAAAATACAAATTGCTTAGCAACTTTATATTTATGGTTAGAATATTGGCATTTAACTACCAGCCATCTCTTGGAAGTTAATATTTATTTTAATTCGTGATCCGCATAAGAATCAGTGAAATTAATTAGTAAATTATGGAGAAATTTACTATTAAATTTTACCTTTTTTGGAATCTGGAGTTGCCCAAAGAAAAACATTTTTCTTTACTAAGTAAACATCCTTTAAAGCTCTAAGTAAAATTGCAGAGGTGTTTATTGCGATCAAAATGGCGGTTAAAACGTTAAAATCTGCCTAGTGGATCGCGAGATATAAGCAATTTAGTCCTCGCAACTATATGTTTTCTTCTTTATTTATAAAGAAGAAAACATATAGTCGCGAAGACTAAATTGCTTATATCTAGCGATCCACTGGGCAGATTTTAACGTTTTAACCTCCATTTTGATCGCAAGAAACACCTCTACAACGTTACTTAGAGCTTGAAAGGATGTTTACTTAGTAAAGAAAAATGTTTTCCTTTGGTCAACTCCAGATTCCAAAAAAGGCAAAATTTATATAGTAAACATATCTCCATTTTTTACTATGTTTTGTCACTGGTTCTTAGGTGGATCACGAATTAAGCATAATCATGTTATCAAATTAGCTAAATATTTTAGTTTTAGGCATGTAAATAAGGAAATACGCAACAAATTTATACAAATGTTTTGTAATAGTCATTCACCTGTATTTGCTTTATATACTTATGAAGATAAATTGCATCTTTTAGATTTATCAAAGAAAAATCTTGTTAAAACTCTCACAAATCATTCAATTAATCCAGATTTTATCTATGTTGTATATTTTTTAAAAATTATTGTAATTTTCAACTTGGTAAATAAAATGGAGTATTAATGTTTTAGTGTTTAAGTGAGAAGATTTCAAATTATAAAGCATCCAGTTTGGTAAAGTGATTCTTCAAGAATATAACTCCTGAATAGGAAAAGCATTTATATTGTGCATTGTTATAGGGTTAATGTGTTGGGTATAAGAAAGTCCATGAAGCAGAGAAAATTTGTTATGTAGATGCCTAAGATTATTTGAACCTTTAAATATAGCATTAACATTGCTATATACAAGTTGTATAGCAGGTGCTTTACCATTGAAACTATTTAATATATCTAATGAACTTAAAATTACAATTGAAAAAGCAATTAATTTATTAATAGCAGACTTTCATTCTGATTTCTAATTTTTCTACCTATATCCCTTAATATGTAGACCAACGCAGGCAAATTTGTCTGCATTTTTGCACTTTTTTAGCTCTGATTTACTTTTTTAAAATGCTAAAATATTTAAATAAAACTTTGCACAATTATATT